GAGAGAGAGAGAGAGAGAGAGAGAGAGAGAGAGAGAGAGAGAAAGAGAGAGAGAGAAGTTTCGAGAGAGCGCATTCTTATTTCTAGCCAACTTCGGAGACGCCAACCTGTGACGGTGCACTGGCCTGTATATCGCTTAGCTTAGGCTGGATGTAGGCTAAATTCTGTACAATTTAGAAAATCGTGTAGATAAAACCGTACGATTTTTGCGCCACCGCCTCCAAGCGACCGATCTGTGGGAATTACCGCCAATAAAACCTCAACCAAGCCGTGCTACGACGCGCTAGGGTTCCGTGAGCTTCGTATAATTTCTGCCATTTGAGCGTTTGTTTAATTTTGTGAACGATATTTTTCCCGATTGATTATGCAACCCTTATTTAGAGATGATGATGTGCTTCTGCAACACGGACCCTTGCAACAAGGAATAACCCCGCAAGGTGTCACCAAAAGGGTTCACACAACTGTTCCAAACGTGTGATACATTGATATTACCAACAACAAAACCCATATGTCATTTAACCTAGTTTTGCACATTTTGGAAACGGTGCCATTCGATAGAGGCATTAAAAATCCATTAATGAGAATTTAATTTGGGCTAAGTATAGCGTACACTCACAAAAGCTATAGCTCAAAACAGTATTCGCAAATCTTTGAATTTAATCGTTTAGTCAGAATTTTTCAACTTTTACGATCGCGGAAGCCTGCTCGTGATTCTTAATCGTGAGCTTTACTAGGTGTGTAGCAAATTGTATATGTTGAAGCAAATTTAAACAGCAGAATCGATAATATATTGTTGTTTTGTAATTTTTTTTTGTCATACGGCGCACCTTGCTCTGGCAGGTAATGCTCTCCGATCGCCTTCCGGTCCTTTTCGTCGCCGTCCTGTGGACTGCGGCCTTTGTTTTGCATGGTAAGTTTGCAGGAAACCTCTTTTGTTCTATAAAATACGGAATTTGACGAGACGAAACATGTCGAAACTGAAATCCGAGCAGTAAGATCCGGGAAAAGGCGCCAAACCCGATAAGCAAAATTTTTAAACTGAACTTTGGACTTAATGTACTGAGATTCTGTGAATTACGACATTATGAATTTTAACATGATGTTTTTCGACATTATGCGAGCAAATAGCATTTTAAGGTACACCTTAGTCTGGCACACATCACCAGATATTCTCAGCGCACACACCTGATGCCCTGCTGCGCCTGGGCATCGAAGTCTGAGAATCTTCTACTAGTGAATAAGACATGGTAATCGTGTAGCGTTTTATTACTACTACTATGCTTAACTGCCACACTGCTACTTTTACGTGCAGTGGCTGTTTGTAGGTATATCATGGATGCTCAGGATTTTCAGGACTGAAGCGCCAACGTTCCAAAAATGGTCGCGTCGTGTGAGAAGGTTTGTGGATTATAAGCAGAACAAGATGGGAGAGAGAGAGACCAGGAGAGAGACAGAGAGAGAGAGAGAGAGAGAGGGAGAGAGAGAGAGACGAGAGAGTTAGAGAGAGAGTAACCCAGAGATAAAAGCTCTAATTTTACAGCCAGGAACCGCTACGCCAACTTGCGAATCCTCCACAACCTGCGCTTCCGTCAGCATCCCCGGAAGTAGGGAAAAGCATGCAAAAATGTCATGATTACAATAAGACGTGACTGCACGTGGGTGCCCGACCGGCGTAGAGTCGCGGAATTTGGCCAAGTTCAACCTGACGGTTGGGTGCCACAGAACAGCAGGTTCGTGCGATTTTCGTCAAATTTATTGTTGGTGACTCAATCAAACGGTAAATATGTATCCTACTATATATAAAAAAATAGTGTGTGTGTGTGTGTCTGTGTAGATTTGCATCCACTTCCGGATGTATGTTCCGCTCATAACGGGTCAGGGAAGAAGTTTTCCGACATGTTTGATACGTCATTTGGTGCGTAATGGAGTGGAGATGACTGCCGACCGATTAGCTTTTTCAAAATTTACTATTTTCGACATTAAATTTAGGTTTTTGTGAAAGGACCTTTGTTAGGCAAAATTTGCATACACCGGAAGCGGATATTGCCTATAAAAATCAGGCTACAGAGGATATTTCCCATTTTGTCAGCGGGTTTTGGGCAGAATATGCAAAGTATTTTTCTGATCGTTCCTAGACGAGGCCCAGGGGTGAAAAGCCGCGGAGCGGCTTTTCAACCCTGGTTTTGGATATAAAAATAATGTTGGTTTAAGTATGGAATGTCTGCGTCTGCGCCGAGGGCCTCTGCAACAAAGCATAGCCGATGGATTGCTGTAACTAATAAATTTGTCAGGCAAAAACATTCTCATGACCTCATACGTGGATTACGGTGCAAAACGGCATAAAATCACGATTTTCGTGAAAAGCAAAACACGGAGCAAAATTCGTAGGACCATACGAGATTTTATGTTCGCATCAATAATGAGATTTAAATAGCGCTAAAAATAAACGGCGCCGCCGGCCGCCGAAATCGTATCATGTGGTGCATATTTTAAGCAGGAGCACCGAAATATCCGGGTTGATCCCGTCTAGACCGGGAAGGCCACGTCGGGCGTGGGTGCAGCGTGATGTATATATAGCAAGGAACCGGACGAGGAATTCAGAAACTCCCCCTCTCTCTCTCTCTCTCTCTCTCTCTCTCTCTCTCTCCTTTCTCTCTCCTCCCATGCTCGCTCCTCGCTTCTCTCTATCCCTCTCTCTCTCTCCCTCTCTCTCTCTCTCTCCTCTCGCTCTCTCTCTCTTTCTCTGTCTCGTGCTCATCTTGGTATGATCACACTTTCAGAGTGATGTCGCTGAAATCCCAATTGATCTGCTGCTCAGCGCTTTTGCTTGCCTTGATCTCGGATGGTAAGTTCGAAAAATATCATGTCTTCTTCTTAACTCAAGAATCTCGATTTAGTGAGCGCCATCAAGTGCTACTCCTGCGTCAAGAAGCTAATCCCGGGAGCCGGTCTACAAGAAACTCTCGCTCTTGCCGACCTAGGGATCTTCGACTTGACGTGGGCTTTCCTCGGTTTCTTTTTCGACTTGAAAATTCGAATTATTGCAAGATTTTCTAGCTCGCTGGCTGATGACGGCGACGACAATTGCAAATCGGTGGGTGGGACACTAGAGGGGGCTAAACGTCAGATACCTTTGTTTCTCGGCTCTGTTCTGCGCTACAGGGTTATCAAGTATACCAAAATAATACTTATAAGGAGAGGATCAGCTTGGTATATCTTCCAAACCGGTAGTACAAAATTACGCAAATTTCGAGTGTGCAAAAAAGTGCAAAATGCCGGCCGGAAGCTAACGCGGCTAAAACTTTTGCATCAGCGTCTTGTCAAAATTGGGGATCGACGCCAAAATTGTGGAATTGTCAAATTCGCGAAATGAAACGAAGTTAAAATACAAGAAAATTAAACTTTCTAGACTAACGACGACACACCGACGTGCGAATCCAACAAATACTGCACGTATGGAATCGGGCCCGATGATGGCGCAAGTTCGTTGATTGGTTTTCGCGGGCGTTGCCGGGGGTTTGATACTCTCTACAAGGCGTCGCCCTAAAAACCTGCTTCCTACAAAAAAAAAAATCATAATTTACGAATTTTTACGCGTCAGTTTTTCATCTTTCATCGTTTTTTCGGTAAATTTGGGCATATTTATTGGCAAATCGACGCTAAGAATTTGCGAAGTTATGACTTTTAGAAGTAATCTTTTAGATGTACTTATTTGAAAGTAATGATTTTAGAAGTAATGATGGGTAGCCTTTTTTTTTGACAGTAACGATGTTGTTCGTATCATCACGATCTTACAGTGGCCGTTCGCCGCTCGTGCGTACCAGAGGACGCTGAGTCCCACATTGAGAACACCCTCAACCAGGGGACTGGGTGCGGCAGTGCTGCCGGCCCTGGTAGGTAGCTTCCGGTTCTAAATGTCTACATATACTTGCTTTCAAACGATCGCCTACTATCAACGTTTTCAAACGATCACGCGTTGTTTTTAGTCACCATCATGGCCTGCGCGTGCGACAGTGACTTGTGCAACGGGAAAGCTGTGCCCTAAAAATAAGCCGGAAATACTGACTTCGATTGTTGGTTTTTTTCCTAATAAAGTTGAAAATCGCTAAAACATGCAAATAATAAAAGATCTTACCACATCCAAAAAGAATTGTTTCTCTGTATACGATCCGCACCTATAACCTCAAGAAATTCTTTTTCGGTAGGCAAGAAACGTCACTAGGTGTGCATTGGTGCGGGAATGAATGTCGACACAACAGTTTTTAAAAAAATGTCTTTTTCGCTATTAAAGCGCACGTTCTGGGAGGGGCCGCATACTCGTCCCTACGTATGCACCCTATGGACGTAGGGACCGCGCGCTCTGCCTGCCCGTGTCGTGGCAGGCAATTCCCCTCCTTTCCGGGGTGAGGCGCCCCTCGACCCCTCGCCAGGTTGCACCTGTGGCTGACTGGTATGCGCACGCGACTCCCAAACGGGGGGACCCGGGTTCGACCCCCGTCCACGGCAAAAATCGTTGCTTTTTTGTCAAAAAACGTCTCTGAACGTGCCCTTTAAAAGTTAAAAGTTAAGCGACAACGTGGTTTCATATTTGTGCCTCATTCAGAAATTTCAACAATAGAAATCCTAAACGAAATAAATTTAACAATTTTAGCTCTAATACTTTTTAGAATTCGGCTGGTGGTGCTCCGTATAATTTGCCTGGTCTACCCGATTTTCAAAAAGCACTTAGGGATTCGGGACAAACGTTAAAAATACATACAAGCCAGACGTTGAAGATGGTTCATTTTTCGGAAACGTTGAAGCAACAATGTCTGTCTTTGGCTTGCTTTTCATATCCTTGAGCTTGACGCTGGTTTTAGCGGATGATGGTGGGAATTCGGAACTATCTTCGTACGCTTATAGCTTACAAAAGAATAAAAACTTTAAAAATCCTCTAGGATCAGTAGAAACTAAGAAAAAACTTTAGAAGATTCAAAAGTCCGAATGAGACGATATACCCACTTTTTAGCCGATACCCGACGTTGCTACGCGTGCCAATGGGCTCCGATGTTTGCCGGGTAGGCCCGAAAAACTTTTTCTTTTTTAGATTTTAATTTCGACGATAACAGGAAACCAGAGAAACTAATTTTTTTACAGGAAAGACTGCAAAAATGTGAGTGGTTAGAAGTTTTTCGGGTTTTCGGATTTATGGGTTTTCGCAAAATACCTACTACTATGTTTTGCTTTGCTTGTTTTTGTTTTGCCTATATTTGCAGCCTTTGAACCTGGATCTTTTCTGAAAAAAAATAATAATAGCGTTTTTCTCAAAATAGCCCGGTCCCGATACCGCGACGTGTGCTGGGAAAATCTGCGTTACGACCAAGATACAACTGGGAGGTAGGTCAACTCTCAATGTCAAAGAAACATATAATGATAGATACATTTAAATGATTTTGTATTTGATATGCATATTTTTTATCGTTAATAAGAACTAAAGATACCTAAAAATTCAGCGATCAACGCCACGGCTCGGGGTTGTGCCGAGGAGAATGACATGGCAAGGTGGGTGAGGATGCATCCGGGCTGCATGTCGTTCAGCGATCAGAAAGGAGGTATGTCAATTGTTTAAGTAGATACAGTTCGAGGTAGCTTTTAGAAAAATCTTTTTAGATAGAAATAGATTTTGATAGACAGCTTTTAGCGAACTTCGAGATTTGCACCTGTTGGGAAGATCGCTGCAACGACCACTGAGAGTTATCCTGTCAATAAATGGGTGATGTCATGTAATATACGTATTGGTAGCGAGTGTAAGATAAAAAGTGGGTTTGATGGTATATTATTAACAAATGTAGAAAACCACTTCGCGGTTTTTCAAAGCCTTGCAGCATTCTATCGGAATATTGCTGTAAAAAAAGGCAAAGCGCTGGCTTTGCCCCCTGTTTTAAGCAACCTCTAATTCTAGCGCATGCAAAATGCTTCCTAACTTACTTCTTTCATGGATTTTTAACATAGTTTTAGATAATAAAGCTAAAAAACTTCTCGAAATTCTCGAAATTTCAAATTATTGTGTAAGAATTGTGCAAAATATATGAAAAATGACCAAAAAAATGTGTTCCAGTGCCACCAAAAAGAAGGTGTTCCTAATTTCAAAAATCTTTAAAATATTCTTTTGTATTTTATAGCAATCAAAAACTACAAAAAGACATTGTAAAAATACGCTGTCTTGATCCAAAAGTTGGTATAGACGGAAAGACAAAAATTAGTTGTCTCTGCTAACCCCCACCCCCGCTAACGGTCCAGTACCCAAAAACGACTAAAAAACCATAAAATACATCTATGATTTTATTACGTAAAAATTGGCAAAACCATGAGAAATTGCCCCTTTCCCGCCCCCTCCTGCCCCCGCTAACAGCCCAGTACCATTTTCCTGAAATATCGAAAGTTGGATTTTAGCTTCTAGGTGTCTTTTCTCCGGTTCCAAAAACCCGAAATTCCGTTCAGATACTTTATCCATCGATCGTGCCAGTCAAGAAAAAGGAATTACAAAGCAGAAAAGGGGTAGAATACAGTAGTTGGACAAGTCGAGAGCGAGTCACTGACATGCAAATACCATTCGGAGAGAGGGAAGCGGGCAAGTGGAAAAGGGAAAAAATCGAAACGTTGAGGGAGGGGGAGCGTTGTTTGGATTCTTGTACTTTGTAGTGTGTCGTGATCATTGTCGTGGTGGTGTCGTTGTTCTGCTAGTTGGCCAGCACTCGTTGGCGTCGCGGCGGCGCGCGTGCGGGGAGCGGATCCTTGACCACGTCGGGGAGGAGGGGCGTCATCTCGGCGGTGCCCTGCTGGATGGCGGCAGAGAATTCGGCCATCCTGGAGTAATAAAAGGTTCTGTGGCATTATCGGGGGGAATCATTAGGGAAAAACGACCACAAATTTTTAGCAAAAAAAAAAAGTCCAAAAAAATCGATTTTTTTGGCGAACACGGCCGATTTTCGAACAAAACTTCGACATTTAAGTTTTTTGAATGGTTGTAGGATAGTTTTTCCTTATTAAAAACTATGTGAAAATCCTTATTATTACGCAACTAGAAATTTCTGGACTTACAAAAATTTCCCGCAACCCGAAAACACTCCCCCCGCTAATGCATAAACACCAATAATTTAAATAGGACGTTTTAAAGCCAAAGCTGTTTCCTCAATAACCTCTGCTAGCTTGCCCGTGCCTGCAAAAATCAATAAACCCACAATTTCCCGGTCACCTCGCGCGTGACGCCAAGCCCAGCGTGGTTCTCGACGAAGCCGAGCACCAGCATCCCGTCTGGAACATCAAATTTTTTAGGACTCCTTGACAAGCTTAAAACCAAGACAATGGCCTTACTTTTTTTTTGGGTTTTTATGTTCAGAAAATCCTAAAAAAACCAACCGCCCTGCAGCCCTTCGCTGGCAAAGCGGCGCACCTGCCCCAGCTCGTACACTGGCCCGTGCTTCAACCATCTGGAAAAGCAAAAATCGACGAATTTTGAGCTAATTCTTCGAGAAGCTTTTTTAATAAAAGTAGTGGCTTTGTTTCAAGCTCATTTTCTTTTCTGGCTCATTTTCGACACCACTTTCAAGAATTTTCGAGGGTTTTTAGCCAGTTTTTCCGCTTTGACAAATTAGATTTGGCTAAGAACACTGAAATTTCTATTTCCTTCCTCGGCGTTGCTAGAGCAAGACAAATCGTAAAACCTGTGCCTATGTCGCCCTCCTTCCGAACTCACTTATTCACAGTCCCATTCCGCGGGAGCGCCGCCTTGACGAGGGCGTAGATGGCGTTCAGGGTGGTGATGGGAGCAGAGGGGCAGAGCATGGCCCACATCAACACAAACAGCTTCTCGTTGAGCATGTTGAGGGCAGCACATTGCACCGTGTACGTCGCTAGGGTGCCTGGGATTGGTGGACACGCAGGTCGCAGAACGTGACCGCGTGGGAACAGGCGGTGCGGTCCCATTCCATACCTTGGAGAAGACCGCGGAACACCTGGAAAAAGAAGCATTTGCAAGGTCTCTCGCTCGCTCTCACTCCCTCTCTCTCTCTCTCTCTCTCTCTCTCCCCCTTTCTCTCGTCCACCCACATTGAAGCCCCAAAACAAATGATGTTGCGTGCCGAGGAAGCGATTCAGAAGGCACAGCTGGGCGACAATGTTGACGACGTACAGGCACTTCATGACGATGTACAGCCACGTCAGCGTGTTCGACAGATAGTCGCGGCATAAAAGACCGGTCTTCAGGCGGGTGATGCAAGTTACCGGAAGCGAAAATAGCGGCTGTTCCTCGACTCGCCCCAGGCCGAGCCCCTCAAGACGGTGATAGCGACGGGAGGCTCGATCTGGACGAAAAAAACGCATTTCTCAAAGCCCCGCTCCTCACCTCCTTTTGCCTAGCCTCCCCGGTGAGCGTCTCGCCTGAGCGCCCCTCGACGCAGTTCGCCAAGTCGATGCCTGATCAGCACGTTACACACCTATTGACATAGAACGTACTGAACCCTGACACTTACGCCGTCCACAGCCAGTTCGGCAGGTAGATTAACAGGGCCTGGACGGCCAACAGGAATGGCACCCGATTGTAGTAGGCGATGGGGATCTGGAAAGAGAGACATCAAGACAGAGCGAGCGAGCGTAGATCGAGAGAGAGACAGAAAGAGAGAGAGAGTAGAGAGAGAGAGAGAGAGAGAGAGAGAGGAGACGAGAGAGGGGGATACCTGCTCCTATGATCCGGAGTCCAACGTGTCGGTGTCGTTGTTGCGCACAAAGTACGTATTGAGGTGAAGCAGTATGTAGACGTACTGGACCAGCCCTCGCCGAACTCTTGCGGCATCCAGCATTTGATAGGTGAGCCCGCGAATCTATAAAAAAAATTTGGCTGAACAAGGCCTTAAAAAGCCAGGAGAGAGAGGGAAACAGAAGAGAGATAAAGAGAGATGAGAGAGAGAGAGAGAGAGAGAGAGAGAGGGAATGAGAGCAAGGAAGGAAGAGAGAAAAACCTACTGCTCAGCCCGAGACTGAGAATCGCGAAAAACGACAGCACGAGGGCGGCGGTACGGTAGTTCAGTCGATCGACCGGATCGTCCAGAACATGGCCCTGGACGACGGAGCGGAATTTGTCCAATAGCGGAACGGAGAGCACCATCCTGAAAAATAGGGCGTAAGCTAATTTGCATAAATTTCCATCTACCTCTAGGTTTTCCAAAGAGTTACTGGGATGTGAAGCGACCAAACGAGGGTCGCGGATGTTGAAAAGGGCAGCCATTTCCTGCAAAAATTAGTTCGGAGAGTCAAATTTTTTTTGTGTGTGTATGCAAATGTAAGCAAAAACTTGTCAGACGCCCGGCATGGATATTTTCCGAACAGGCCGTTTTTCAAGACTGTCCGATCTGAAAGTTGTATGCAAATAACTTTTGAGTTACATCGTACTTTCTCATGTATTTTGCTCAATATCTCTCTCTCTCTCTGTCTCTCTCGCTCTCTCACACATCCTCTGCACTGTTTTGTTAACCTAAATTCCTGGTGTGAAATTGTCTGACTAGCCTACGAACTTATTTATCCGCCAAAAATAAGGCCAGAGGCCACTTTCCCGGCCCAAGATTTTCACGCTTCCATAGCCCAATTCGCGCGGGATAATCGAGAGGCGGAAAGTTCAGTTCCTTCTCAAAATTCGTGAAACAAGATACCGTCTGAGTTGCAAGTTATGAAACTTATTTTGTTTTTAAATGTCATCAGGTTTTATGGGTTTTGTCTCTATTTCTCTTTCTGTCTGTCTGTGTGTTTGTCTGTCTGTCTGTCTGTCTGTCCGTCTCTGTCTGTCTGTCTGTCTGTCTGTCTGTCTGTCTGTCTGTCTGTCTGTCTGTCTGTCTGTCTGGCCTCTCTCTCTTTTTCCCTCTCTCCCTTTCTCACTCGCTCTCTCTCTGCCTCTCTCTCTCTCGCTCTCTCTCTCTCTCTCTCTCTCTCTCTCCCCTCTCCCTCTCGCTCGCTACAGCAGAAAGATGCAATGAACAACCATAATTGTGCATCAGCCCCAACATCAAGTAACAACAACTATTCCCCCGGGGCGTGTTGCAGTAGGGCACCCAACCTGGAATCATGTACCGTATCTTGTACCTTCTAATTCCCTACTATTAAAACAGCTGCACTTCTGCTGCATAGCTTCCCTTAGGGATTTTATGATGTAAAAATGATGTTGAAAAAGAAATTTTCCGCGAAATCCCTATGAATGAGTATACGGTACTACAAATAGGTATAAATTTGCCTTGTGGGGGTGTGTTTTCGGTTTTGTCTTTTTTTTAACATTTGTCGCGTCATGCAGGCAAATTTACTACGCTTTTTGTGTCTGATTACTGTAGCCATTTCTGGACGAAGATAGGCGTGCTTTTTAGAAAGCAGGAAATAGCTCGAAGCCATCCGGCCAATTTTTTGTTTGTTTTCAATTGATTCGAATCGGCCTTTTTCGTTAAATCAAATCATTTTTAATTAATTTTATGCTTCCTTGCTTTATTCCACATTTTTTGAGCCTTTTTTTCAGATGTTTTGCGACAGTGAGTATAATGGTTACGCTTTTAATGCCGTGGCCGGGCTCGGTGTTGCCTCAAACTTATTTCTTCTATATGTTATCGTCACGGAATCACACATTCAATTCCAAGGCTACAAGCGCATTTTGAAGATTATCGCCGCATATAATATTTATTACGCCGTTGTGTTGAGAATTGTTGATCCGGTGGGTATATGGTAATTCGACTTAAAACAAGCATTAAATCCGATTAACATTAAAATTCTATTTATCTAACATAAAATACGCTTAGATTTCTATTTTATTGCCCAAAATACCATTTAAATCGCTTTTTACAGTCTTATGTCCTCGACGAGCGCGGCTTCATCGTAGTATCGCGTACTTTCGTCAAATCCTGGACGGCCTCCTTCTGGGCGTTGACCATTTTCGTCAACAGCTTCGGCCAATCGATGTCACTTCTCGGGATCCATTGCTTTTATCGTTTTACGAAGATTACCGGGTAAGTACAAATAGATACTGTATCTTCATTAAAGCTTTTTAAACGGTTGGGTACCGTACCGTACCATAGTATAAATACGTACCGTACTATAATACGGTCCGTACGCTCAAAGGCGTCTTTTCTTGCTGTGCGTGGTTTTCATGCCTGGTCGGCTCCACGCATAGATTTAAGCGCTTCCCAACTACTGCAGAAAGATCACAGGACCCGGAAACTAGCAAAAACCTTGATTTGTTTGGTACATAATAATTATTATCTGGTAATATAACATTTGATACATTTTGGTAATGTGGCACTCCTAGTTACCGTATACCTGCACTAATACCTAGACTTTAAAAGAAATTCTGACCTCCGCTTTCGTTGCGGTATTTTCCAAAATTGGCCAAATTGGCCTGGAACTAGACGTACGGTCCCACGACTTGTCGTTGTTGGCCAGCGAATTTTCAAAAATTTGCAGTTTTGTTTATTTCAAAATTGTAGCTACTGTACTTATTGCATGTCTCGTATTTACTTCCCCTTAATCCATGGGTGAACTACATATTTTTGGGTGGGAGTGGGAGACTATAAGGAAAAGTAAAGATCACGAGCTGCCCGGAGTCCGCTTTTGAAAAGTGGGGAAAATGGCGAAAATATCAAGAAAACAGAATGTGGATAATGATAGTTACAATGATCTGATTTAGGAAATACGAAGGCGTCTTCCGGCGTAAATTGGGAATTCTGGCCGTCGTTTTTTGCCATTTCTTCTTTGCCTTCTTCTTCAGGTCTTTTGCATCATTTCCATGCAGGTTGGCCCAACTTTTGTAGCTATCTCTCGCCCTCTCTCGCGCTCTCTCTCTCTCTCTCTCTCTCTCTCTCTCTCCTCCTCCCTCCCTCCCTCCACTCCCTCCTCCCTCCCTCCCTCCCTCCCTCCCTCCCTCCCTCCCTCCCTCCCTCCCTCCTCCCTCCCTCCCTCCCTCCCTCCCTCCCTCCCTCCCTCCTCCTCCCTCCCTCCCCTCCTCCTCCCTCCCTCCCTCCCTCCCTCCCTCCCTCCCTCCCTCCCTCCCTCCCTCCCTCCCTCCTCCCCTCCCTCCTCCCTCCCTCCCTCTGATTCCCGAATGCTGATTTTCAGCCAACCCCAATCAGACAAGCTCTCCCAATATGAGGCTGCGAGATATCTCGCACGTCAACCTAACCGACAATATTTATTACTACGGCCCGGTTTATTCGGTAAAAAAGAGAGAGAGAGAGAGAGAGAGAGAGAGAGAGAGAGAGAGAAGAGAGAGAGAGAGAGGAAGAAGGCGAGAGAGAAGGAGCATATAAAAAATTCAGTACCCAAACGACGATGGCGTCGAGCAGATTCAATGGACTAGCATTATCGGAACTTTTGGAGCAATGCTGGCGTTTGCGGCGTTCTATGGACTTGCTAGTACTACCGGAATCAAATTGTACGGCTTCAGATACCCTGGATTCCATCTGTTAAGATACTACCACGTGAAAAGCTCAGTCTTGAGTACGACTATGCAAAAGCTGCAGTTCGAGCTGTTGCTACTGCTGATGGCTCAGGTTCTGCGAAATTGGATCATTTTATAAAATTGGTTAAGGCGGTATCACCCGTATTTTTCGAGTACGCACCGGCAGCTGTGATTTTGGTTGGAGGGACCACAGGTGGGGGAATGAGCTGTTTTGGAAAATAAACCTCGTAACATCTCCGTTTTTACAGGCTTGGTGCCGCATGAATGGGGCCTATGCGTACCCACGTTTTTCTCCGGATATGCGACGGCTGATGCAGTAATGGTGTTGTTCTTATTTAAGGTACGCCACAAGTTTCTAATATTAACAGAAATAGCTTGGATTTAGCTTAAGATTAAGCTGAAAAACCCTCAGAATTAAATTTAGGCCTACCGCCGACGTACCGTCGAAATCTTTACCTACCCTTGCCACCGAGGACGGAAACCTGAGTTGGCCCCGTTGAAGACCAGTGGCTATACAAACAGCGGGCTGATGGTGTCAGAGAATGGCCCAGGAGCCCCGCCATAATTCAATTTAAAAGTTAACAAACATTTTGTGATTTTGCACCACAACCACCTGCCGAAAATTGACTGGGACCGATCTTAAAGAGTCGGAGACAGAATATTGATCCAAGAGATTGTGGGGAAGATGCGTACAAATGGGCTGAATTTGATCCCCGGAAATCCGGAACTTTTCTTACCTTTGCGAAAAATTGGTTTTTGCCTATCATTGACAACAATTATTAATTAAATCTACCAGGGAAAGATATACGAAAATTATGAAAACCTTGAATTGAAAAAGATACACCAATTTAAAAACCCATTACAAAATGGAATCGAGAGCTTTGTACCTTTAAAGGGCACGTCCGGGGACGTTTTTTTGGATTGCCGCGGCCGGGGGTCGAACCCGGGCCCCCCGCTCGGGAGGCGCGGATGGATACCAGTCAGCCACAGCTACAACCTGGCGTGGGGGCGAGGGGCGCCCCACGCCGCAAAGGAGGGGAATCCTGCCACCGCACGGGCAGGCAGTGCGCGCGGTTCCTACGTCCATAGAGTGTACACGTTGGGACGAGTACACGGCCCCTCCCTGAACGTGCGCTTTAAATGCCCATGGTAGCTTTAAAATAAGGATTCTTTGAGGCTTTGGAAATAATTTTTTGTTGTTTTATTGTTTAATACCAGATGGTTACAGTCGCTTCGCGACTGCAACCATCTGGCCTTCGGCTACCCTACAATGTCCCACTCCACCACATCCTTTCCCACCTCCATCAATACCCCCCATGGCTGAAATCCCCTTCAAAAACTACCTAAATACCTTCCTGATGGCTACAGATACCCCCCATGGCTGAAATCCCCGTCAAAAACTACCTAAATACCTTCCCGATGGCTTTAGAGCTTTAAATAATTTAAATAATGAATTAACATAATTAAAAGTATTAAAAAGTATTAAAGTAACTTAAAAAGCGATCTGGGCGCGCGAAGGGGCCTGGGGAAGAGGGGCGAAGAGAAAGGGGGCGTGGCCTCCCGGGAGAGGGGCCCCCACCCCTTTTACTAAGGGAAAAACTTTCAAAGTTAATTTTAATAATTTAAACTAAAACTTTTTCATAATTTTTTTATCAGTTTAGGGGTTTCTGACCACGCTCTATCCGAATCCGAAGAGAGCTAAGCTCTAGCTCCTTTCCCCTTCGAGTTGAATTCGGGACCGGACAGACACACACACAGACACCACTACTTTTTTATTATAGTTGATTGATAGTTGATTGATTAATTTTTTATCACGGTAAACAATGCTATAAATCACCCAACCCACCCAAATCTGGTCCTCCTGACATGCCGATTGCCGGGCCAATAAATATTTATGTGCACTGACTCGGGGTGCACGATACAAATTTACCCTATCGACCGGCTCCCTATAATAATCCCGCCGGTACTCGAGTACCACCGGATTTGCATAATTTTTCGGGGCTCCCCTGCCGAGTCAGAGATTCCGTTCGGCCAGAACTACGCTCCACTCCTATTGACAGTATTATACACAAACTTGCTAAGCTTATTTTGGGAGCGGTCATACATCGAGAATGGATGACAAAGAGGCGCCGTTGATTGTTGGAAGTGCGGTTTGTTGTTGGGATTCGAGATTGTTGTGGTCAAGCTTTCCCAGCGATCGAAAGCGTCTAGAGGTGCCTAGCGGAACTGGTATATTCCAGGTTTTTTGGTTGGTTTTTAGGGTGGTACTTTCGTCGGTTTTTGTAACTTTCTGATGATGTTTTCGGTAAAAGAGCCATTTTTGAACGGCAAAAACGACTGAGAAATCCTATTAAGCATAAAAAAATAGAAAAACTGTTTTTTCCAAATGATCGAAAAACTAAAACTGAAATTACCAATTTTATCATGATTCTTTCAAAATTTTGCTCCAGTTTCAAATTTCCAAATTTACCATTGCAAAGTGGGTTATTTTAAATCATAAAAACTTACTTTGCGGTAAATCCTCTCTTTTTTTTTGTGCCGGAGCCTCTTATTTTTGTCTGCCTGTGGAATCACTTTTTTGAATTTTTTCGAAATAAAATTTAAATAATTAGATCTGATATTTTTTGGAAAGGTTACCAATTTTAAATAATTTCCTCAAGTTTTTTATTAAGATTGAAAGCATATTCACAGATTTTTAACAAATTCACAGTAAACAGCCATAAGCCAATAGCAGTGATTGGAAAGAAATGTGAAAATTGGACAAAAAACTTGCGAATCTGAACTCCGAAGCGCCTTGCCCTCTTTCAGCGCAGATTTAAATTTTTTTTCTGCGTTGGTTCCTTCATGAGTCAGCCGATGTGGATCTCCGAGCGATTTTTGGGAGGTGTTTGCGGGAGGTGCCTATTTCGGCATAGGCTTCAAAAAAATAGAGTATTCCGAGCGCCTGCCAGCATACGGTCAAAAGTAAACTTCGTCCTTCTGAGTTTAAATGAAGAATAAAACCTATCTTTAAGGAATGCGAAAGCCCTCCACCCAACCGATGGTCCGCGCCCGGTCCCTGTTCCGGTTGAGCAGCAAGCTGGCGCGGAATTGTCTTTCGGAGTTTATCGGAACGATGATGTTGTTGGTAAGTTCTCCCCAGATAACTTAAAATATCTAGCTAAATTGGCAAAAGAAAGTTCAAAATATCATAAAACTGCAAAAAATATAATTCTCCGTCCATTTTTAGTACTTAGGATACCTTAACGTTTCTGTATTCCGTGACAAAAATCGTTAAAAATACCTATCGAAATTCAGGAAACGAAAGATTTCCATTTTCCAGTTCCTCGGCTCTGCCATCTGCCTACAGTACACCCTGTCGGATGGGAAACTCAGCAGCTGGCTGCATGTGAACATTGGCTGGGGATTTGCCTTGACCTTGTCGGCTTTGGCGACTTATCAGACTTCGGGTAGGAATCGGAATCCCGATACTTAAGTTAATTTTTGACGTTGCGGGCCCGGGATTACTGTATTTAAAAACCTTTTGACTAGTTAGGATTACGGTATTTTATCCATATTTTAGGAGGCCAGCTCAACCCGGCCATCTCACTCCTCATGGCGACACTTGGAAATATGCCTTATTCCTGGGTGCTGCCGTATTCGATGGCCCAACTTGGGGGTGCCTTTACAGGAGCTGCCCTGGCGTATGGGGTATATTACGGTAAGTGAGGGAGGTTTAGACAGACAGCTACGTAATTCAGTCATTTACGCTTGGAAAATCGTTCCGCAATTGCTCATATTTGGATTAATTTATTAACCTTTTTAGCGTTTTGATAGTATTGTTAAGAAAGCGTATTATAGCGTATTCTAGTGTATTTGAACAAGTTGAACTTTTAGAAAGATCCCTACGGTACCTAGCCGCCCTACCCTCTCCCGGTCATTTGACTGCCTGCTTCACCTCTTGGCCTAGCGATGCTTCCCATACGACGGCTTTCATTGATCAGGTAAGTTGGTTCGACCTCGAAAATTAAATACACTAGATTATTTTAAGGCTTTATATATATTTTTATAGTTTTCTAGACTTCAGCTTAACGTCCGGATATTTTTCAGGTCGCTGGAACAGCTGTACTCGCATTTTTCATCTGCGCTTGCGTGGATAGAAGGAATAAGGTAACCTCAAGCTTACTCTAAATGCTATTTTTTTTCTAATGCCGTTCCAAAAACTTATGAAAGCTTGTATTGAGTACAATACCAAAAACGTAATCATCAGTTTTTCAAGAAACATTTTCTTCACCAGTTTCGATTTTTCCTTACTTTCTTCAGGTCCCCGTCTTCTTGCAACCACTATTCTTTGGCTTTTTGTTGATCATGATCGGTAAGTTAAATGTAATAAAATCAATTAAAGAAATTTCATTAATGTGGGTATATTATAGAGAAAATTTCGATTGCGGTAATTTTCAGGATGTGCCCTCAACCTGAACGTCGGCTATCCAATAAATCCCGCTCGAGACCTCGGACCCAGGATTTTTGCTTTTTTGCTCTTTGGAATGGAGGCTTTCAGGTAAAGTTAGCTTTTCTGTAATTATTTCGTTTTTTTTTATACTTTTAGATAGCTAAATAAACTCGTTTTTTAGTCACAGCAATTATTACTTCTGGATCCCGGTGGTCGCACCGTTTTTCGGAGCGCTAATCGGAGGATGGCTTTATCAGGTCACTTTTGCTTCCTTTTAAACAAAGAAAAATTTGTTATTTTTATTTTTCAAATATTTTACCAAATTAACAAAATTAATGATGTTTTAATAGTCGTGTAAAATTTTTTTTTCAGATCCTCATCGGCGTGCAAATTGACAAAGATCCGGAAGAGGAATATGAACTGAAACATGCGGTTTAGGGATCCAATTTTGCTTAGAATTTTCATAAATAATTTTTTATCGTGTATTTTGTTGTTTAGACGTGAACAGCGTTAAACAACACAATCATTAGTTATTTAAACTCTAGCCAAAAATACGTCTCCCACTAATTTTTCTTCCAACCCTGCGTTTGCGCCGCCCATCAAAAAGCACTTGGCGAAGAAGAGGGCACCCTGGTTGGCGTTGAGCTGAAAAATATTTTTTTAATAAAAAAATCTCATCAAATTGTTAAGGGCATTTTAGCAGAGATTCTTTAGGAAATTGAAAATTCTTTTTCAAATTTTGAGGCTAGAAAATTTTTTAAAGTTACCTCAAACCACCGGTGGACCCTCATCAAAATGTGCATCTTTTCGATGGCCTCTTCTTCAGTTTGGTTATGGCGTAGTAGCTAAAATATAACGTATTTAGCAATTAAAGCGTAAATTCTAATATTATTACGGTAGAAAAGTGGTACCTCCATTAGCAGCGTTTCATACTTTCGCCGGGCATTCCGGACCGTTTCCGTTCCCTGGTCGGAGAGACCGATGGCTAAATGGCACTTTAAAGTATAAAAAGGTATAATTTACGTTTAAAAACAATGAAATTAGAAAGAAGAACAGAAAAGGGTTATAAAAGTAAAGAATCAGTCACTCACGTCCCCCCGAAAACACGACCATCCTCTTCCAGACCAGAAATTCTTCAAAGGTGAAATTCACGCGGCGCATTAATGGGAAGATTTCTTCTTGGAGCTGCTCGTGTGTAAATCTCAGGAAGTCGGGGATACTGTAATATTGAGCTATATCTAAGGACAACGTTATATAAACCGAATCCGGCTCTAAATGCTTGTTTTAGAGGTCGAAGCGCCGGCATCGACCCCTGCCGTCCCCCGGGTAACGACAGCTAGGCAACACGCCAATGACGCGTACTATCCCAAGACTATTGACGATCTCGATTTACGCGTAAATTTGGTTTGGCTCTAAGACGATGCGCAAGGACGATGGAGTGTCGCGTAGCTCTCGAGGCCTGGGGCATAGGAAGAGGTAGATTCTCGAACTCCCCGTCCCTTTAAAGTTCCTTTTCCTTGTTTCCTTACCTTCCATTCACACAGTCATTTGGATGATAGTGTAGCCCAAGGCCCTGTAGAAGTCCTCGATACCCGGCACGATAAGAATTATAAAACAACTGGATCGGGATCAGGACACCACTGCTATGTAGGCAGAAACGGGTCTGAAAACCACTTCATAGATTTATAAGGAAAAGTGCAGAAACTCAATTGAAATCATACCCGATCTGCATGGTTCAATTCCCAGATTTCAGGACAGTCCCTGTAGTAGTCCACACAATATACCATACACCTGGCAAAACATCGCGCTCCCATCCGGTCGGCGAACGGGTTGAAGTCGCTGGAGGCGCACAGGCCGAGCTGAACGGCGTTTTCAAGGAGTTCAATAATAGAGCCATTTTTACGCTTGATGTCAATCGGAAACTTCGAAAAAGCCAAAAATTGGAATGAATTAGGGTTCGGAAAATTCTTCGGAGAGCTTGACCAAGAGAAAAAAGGTAAAATTGGGCCTTGGACGCAAAATAGAAGAAAAGCTGGTATAAAATTTGACGCGTTTTGTTAGAAATCTTCAAAATCTTACAAAAACTTACCGGAACCCGTTGACAAATCAACTGTGGATTTCTCAAGATATCCTCAATCGAGACGGACAAGTTGAAGTCAAATTGATGCTGCAAGCTGACCCAGGGTGAGTCGGCTACGTGGGTCTTCTAGTCGGGCCAATCGCCCAATCTCATCTGATGGTGTTCTCGATCTCTGAAGCGGGTGGCATAAAAGGCGCCGGGTAGGCGATGGATTGGACTCGGCGGACTTCCTGAAGAAAATATAAGAATTCAAGACATGAAATAACATGAATACATTTTAGAAGAAATTTTACTTTAAAAAAGATTGAAGCCGTCCCAAAAGTTTTATACGCTTTAAAAGTTCACCGTGCTTTTATAACGACTTGAGCACTTTTTTGTTTTCTCTCAGTTTTTTTATTAATTTGATCAATTTATAATACACCGCTTTATGAATCATGAAATTTCCTTTTTTACCTCAATCAGACACGGCAGTCCCGGCGAAGTTGGCGGAGCGGGCTGGGAAAAAGTGCCTTCCTGAATCCTCCTCATGCATCCTTCGCGGCGACCCGCTTCTCAAATGTGTAAATGATAGCGTAATCGATTATAACAGAATAATTTTTCAGGAGATGTGAGACTTTAACAGCTTTAATAGAACTAAAGTAATCCACTTACTTTCCGGCATCAGCCCGACCTCCAGACACTTTTGATATCGGCAGGCCGTGCATCGCTCGCGGGCTGGAAAGGTATTTTATGAGTGACCCAGATTTTTTAAATAGCTACAGCATCGCCCTGAATCGGTTTTCTTTTTTTACCTATTCAAATAAGCTTTTCATAAGGTATTCTGCTGGTATACACAGCTCCCCTTGCATCTCACACAAGTATAAGGCAATCTGGGTGGCGACTCGAAGGAAGAACGTTTTACAGGGACTAAATAAATAAATTATAATTTTAGCTATATGAAAAATCATTACTAATGTAGCTGAAACTCACTTGCAGGCTATAGAACCATAATACCTCCTCGCTGGCCTCGAGCCGCATACCAAACATTGTAGAACTTGGCTTGACGGCCCGGCGCCTTGCTGATTCATCTAAAACAAATAAACCTAGTAAATCTAAACCTATAAGTTAATTGGTCTTCAAAGGAAAGAAAACTCATAAAAGTAATCCAAAGCCCTATAAAAAAGTACTATGCAAAAGGGACCAATTTTTTTGCAGCCGAGGCTCAAAATTGAAACTTTTCAAGCGTTCTGCTCACCGGCCTGTTAGCCGGGGATTGGGGAAAAGCGGAAAAAGCAAGTCTATGACGTTTTTACACTTTTTCACGCGTCCCTACAGTACACTTAGGTACACCGAATTTTGATGAAAAATTGAGCATGATAAGAAAAACATGATTTAAAGAAAAATAGTTGATTGTTGGCCAAAATAATTCATAATTTTGCATGGCTTCCCATCTTCAAAAAAACAGTTTTTGATGCCCACGATCATCACTGAAAAACGCCAATCCGCTTTGGCTTTACGAAAAAATCATGAGACTACCGACCAAGACAGGTGATTCGGAATTCTCGGCAATTTTCTAGGCGCGGGAGCCCCCTAGAGAGACGTGGGATCTGGAATTAGTCAGACCGGAAATCCCACCCGGAAGCTTAACATTAAAAACTCAAAAATGCGCCCGGAATGGTACGGAATTTTTAGGAAATAGAAAAGATAGAGAGCGAGAGAGAGAGAGAGAGAGAGCGAGAGAGAGCGAGAGCAAGCGAGAGCGAGAGAGAGAGAGAGCGAGAGAGTGAGAGCGAGAGACCGAGAGAGAGAAACAAAAGACCCTTGAAATGTACCCGGATTTCTCCAAGGAGCTGAAACGCGCTCTATAGCTAGGTAAGGTCCATAAATACCAATTAATCCAACTACGACCTACGCCCCTGGACACACCTTTTAGCCGCCGGGGCCGCTAATTAATGGGTAACGCCCCGCAGAAGCGGACGAGATCGACAGCCGGGTGAACCGAAAATCTGCCAGCTAAATTGCACGTTAGCGACGCGAAACTAGGTTGTATTAGTGTTGTGCGAAAACAGCCCGAAAACGTACTTGTGGACGTGATTTGACAGCTCTCTAGCTCTCCCGCGCTCTCTCGCTCTCTCTCTCTTTCTCTTCTCGCTCTCTCGTACCCTAGCTCTCTGCCTCTCTCGCTCTCTCGCTCTCTCTATATATCTCTCTATCTCTCTCGCTTTTTTGATCCACGTTTACTTGGACCTCAAAACGACCGTGGTTGTTTTTGAGCAAATTTTCAGAAGATTAATTCTAGCAAAAAAAATAGGTTCTAGCAAGTTCTTTAAGATTTTTGGACTTTTGAAAGCAGAATTTGTTCTTTTTCGACTTTCCAGAAAAATTTAGAATGATACTGCCATATCAAAAATCACTCGCAAAATAGTAAAAATTGTTTTTGCTCCAAGATTTCACAAAATATCACAACATATTGAAAGTGAAAAAAAAAACCATAAGTGTCATCAGGTGTAACGCGGAAAACCGGCAGCCTGTCTAGGTCGGAGATCCGTACTTTTTGCAGGAATAACACGTGGGAAAGGATTTTCCAAAAAACGTGCTGAAGACGTGCGAATTGGTAACTTCCGGGCCAAAACACAAGGCTTTTTTTGAAAGGGAAATTTACGAAAATACGAAATTGAAAGGCCACAGCAAATTAAATTCGATCCCTTGAGGATTCTTCGTTATCTAAAGCGATACAAAGTTTATTTGTTGCAGTAGAGATTTGATGGCAATAATCTTTATACAAATTTTAATAAATTCATGCAGATATTTGTTTATCAAGCCCTTGCAAAGGCGACGTCGCCGACAAGTTTCCCGGCAATGCCCACTTCATAGCCGCCCATCACGAAGGTTTTTGTGGCCAGCATTGCGGCTTGGTTGGCGTTGCGCTCAAAAATATGAATGAAAAATTCTTATTTTGAACGCGATTTAAACTCGTGAAATTTAAGTAAAAATTTCTGAATCTTCAGCACTAAGAATTTTTCGAGTTTAGTTATATCGATTTAAAAAAATCACAAAATCTTTAAAACGAACAGCGATGTTTTTCGGCAAGTCGATGAAAAACTGACCTCAAACCACCGGTGCACTTTCATTAGTGCTACATCTTGGTGATGGCTTCGCCCTCGGTGCAGTTTTGGCGAATTAGCTAAAAATCGATAATTCGATAAATCGGATTAGAGAATATGTTGCCAAAAAATACAAAAATCCAACGCTGCCGAAAAACGCATAAACCTTACCTGCACCAACATGCTCTGATATTTGTTTCGTGCTCGGCGAATCACATTACTTCCGTTTTCCGTGAGTCCAATTGCTGCAAAATATCGATTTTTATAGCCCCTGTCAAACGCTTATGATTGGCAATTTGTAAATCATTAATTAGATGCAAAATCATCTAAACTAACTTACGAGCAGGCGAAAAAATAGCCATCATCTTCCAGATCAAAAATTCTTCATGGGTGAAGCGGGCGGCCCGAAGAGTGGGGAAAATGTCGGTATGCAGCTGGATGCTCGTCTTTTTCAGGAAGGCCGGGATCCTTAAAGTATAGTTTTTACGGTTTAACGGTATGATTATGCGTGAAGAGTATACGCTACCGTACCCCTCTTCCACTTCCCACTCGCTAGGGTCAAAGTGCAGCCCCATCCCGACGAGCAGCCCCCTCGGTTCCGGAGCGGAATGTGGAGTAGAATTGCTGGATAGCGATGACAAGGCCGCTGACGTGCATGATGAACATGTTCTAGAAGGTCAACTGGTTACAGAGGAGAATTTCCGCAAAGGATGTTTGCTAGCTTGCCCTACTCTGTGCCTTGAAATGTGCGCTAAGGTAGCCTTCCCCAAGAAACAATGCTAGTCTGGCCTGTTTAACAAAGTTAAGCCTTTTGCAGCTCTTTTTCCGTAATGATCTCTGCTAGTTTGACTTTTTCAAGCGACACTTGTTGGAGAAGTCTTCTAAAAATTGTAAATTTTAAAAATTCTGTCGTCTGGGCAGGCTAGCAGTAATTCCTTGCGGAAAGATAATTTTCAGGTAAGGAGTTTTTAAGTAGTTTCTCAGTTTTTAAAAGTTTCTAAGCTTTTTTACCCTGTCCTTCGGCTCGAGTTCCCAAATTTCGGCCGTCTCCCTGAAGAAGTCGACGCAGTACACTAGCCACCGAGCCCAACATCTCCCGCCCATCTGGTCGGAGGACGGATCGAAGTCATTGGAGGCGCTCAGGACCGAGCTAAAAAAACAAAATGAGAGACCCCCTGTAGATATGTACGAAAACGTACTGGGACTCGCGGACACAATTTTTCTGGATTCCGGAAGCAGTCATCGATCGTGATCGTGAAATCAAAGTAGAAGTCGTAGCAGAATGGGTTCCAGGGATGATCGGCGGAGCAGAGTCTAGAAAAAAAATATCTCGTTCTATCTCTCTCTCTCTCTCTCTCCTCTCTCTCTCTCTCTCTCTCTCTCTCTCTCTCTCTTTTCGCTCTCCCTCGCTGTCCCTCTTTCTCACGATATCTCTCTTTCCCTCCCCCTCGCTCTCTCTCGCTCTCTCTCTGTCCCACTGGGATCAAAACTTACTCTTCTACTCGCATCAGCCTTCCGATCTCCAAGCCCAACTCCGCCTGAGCCACCGGTTTCATGAACGTCGATGGGAAGGAAATGGCAGAAAGGGCAGCTTCCTAAAATCAGTCTCTCGTAACTCCTTTGATTTCCGACTTTTCTGATTCCGGATTGAACGTTTGAAAGTTCCGGTTCAAATTCTAGATATATTATGGGCTAATTAACGTCACGTAATGACGTAAATAACGTACTGCCGTTAGTGATGGTAGTCCCGGTGAAGATGGCGGTGGAATATCGAGGGCAACTAGCGTTCCTTCCTTGTGACGACGCAAGCAGCCCTCGCGACGTCCCGCTTCTGAAAAGCAAGGGATTTTCTCTTGCTCTCTCTCACTTTTTCTCATATCTCGCTCTCTCGCTCTCTCTCTCCCTTTCTCTCTCTCAACAATCTTGCTCTCTCTCTCTCTCTCTCTCTCTCTCTCTCTCTCTCTCTCTTTCCTCTCGCTATCTCTCTCTCGCTGTCGCTCTTTATCCCTATCTCTCTCGCACTCATTTTCTCACTCGCTCTCTCTCACTCTCGTTCACCCTCTCTTATCTTTGGTTTCTTTTCCTAATGGTTTTCGGCTCGGCTTTGCGTGTTTTCGTGCATATTTTTGAAGATTAGTTCTCAATTGTGTTTTGGATTTAATTTGTGATGCCTGAAAGCTAGTCAGGTCGTGTTTGTCATCAAGATCTTAGTGATTTTCGGCGTCTTAATAAAAAAACCCACTTTCCGGCACCAGTCCAGCTTTCAGGCATTTTTCATACCGACAAGCCGGGCATCGATCTCGAGCTAAAAAAGTTCTAGAATTACCGTAGCTGCCTTGAAATCTTACGGTAAACACAAGCCCCGCCCACATCACATCTGTATGTCTTCTTCTTGGTGGCGACGCGAAGGAAGAAGAGCTTGCAGGGACTAGAAATGTATATTTTTGTATCTGGTACTCTAGATATATAGGTTTAAAGGGCCGTTGAAGGCAAACTAGCGGTAGATAAAAACCAAGAAAAATACCGCAAGCCATTGAACCGTAGTAGGGCCTTGCGCCGCCAGCTCCGCAAACCAAACATAGCAGTTCTGCTTCTGGCACCTCGACTACCTCGGCGTCGGGCTCCATCTGAATTTTTTAAGAATTAACGGAATTCATAAAAGCAAAAAAGCACATTGAAAATCCGGTTCTTCTCAGGATCGGGGGAGGAGGACAAACGTAATTTTTTTAAGCATCTACTGTTTCTAATAGTAATAATATTAATGTAGGAAGTTTGAAAGAAAGGAAGGAAGCCATTTTTTACTATTTTTAAGCGTAAAAACCATATAGATTTTTACAAAAAAAATGGAAAAATATTGAATTTCGATAAAAAAAGACGCAATTTTCGACCAGAACTGCCAACTTTCAAAATTCTTCAAATTTGCTGGATTATTTCGCGGCTGAACAAAATTTAAACTGGAGTAAAGACTGTATTAAAATACGTATTATAACGAATTAATCTTCCCGGCTCCTAGAAAACAATCGGAGCAAATAATTTTTTTGGAAAAACATTATCACAAAAACAAAAAAAAGCAAAATCTCAGTAATTAATTAAAAAAGAAATAAAAGTGAGGCTTCCATCACGGTAACTGGTGACGCCCACTAATTAAAAAAAAACCGGGCAAAAATGATACGTTTTTAGGTCAGAAACGGAACACGATCTGGCGTTTCTAGAGGGGTGAGGAGTGAGTCAGGAAGCTACCTGATGGGGGTAAATTCACTACCCCGAAAGTCACTACCCCGAAATAATTTGCATGATTTTCATTGGAAATCAGCATGAAGACTGGATTTTTCCGGGAAAAACAATGCCGTCATTTTTCGGGGTAAACGATTTCGGGGTAGTGACTTTTCGGGGTAGTGACTTTCGGGGTAGCGACTTTTCGGGGTAGTGACCGGACGCCGACCCGATGCAAATAAGGGGGTAATTTGGTACTCGCGTCGAGATTAGCTCCGAGACCACCTGCAGCTAGTACCAGCTGTCCTAGCACCACCCAAGAGTACAGGTATCACTACTAAAGTTTCTAAAATGTAAAATTCTCGGCCAAGGCCGGGGTACGCTTTCAAAACTCGCTTCTTTTCAGGGGTTAGAGACGCGAATGCATACCATTTTTGGCTAGAACCCGACAGCTCTACTTGATGCAAAATCACATTCAAATGCAGCCTTGTTGATGCCCCAAAAACGTCGAAAAAATCTCCCGGCACGCGTAATTTGGCTTGACATGTAGCTGTGGATAGCTAGCCGAGGAAAGCGGTCGATTCCTTGCTTTTCGCCCCCTTTAAAGGCGCCGGCAATACACGACCAAAAATTTCTTGTGGATCTTTCGCGTTGAAAAACGGCCAAAACATTTAAAAAAAATCTTGAACGATTTTTGTGTTTTTTAAAAACAAAGTTTTGGCGTTTAGGAGTGGCAAAAACGATTCAGCAAAATTCCACGATTTATAATAGAAGAAATCATCCAAAAATTGCCACCCCCCTCCCGATAATGCCAAAGCACCCGGTTTTGGAATTTGTGAATTTCAAACTGTGAAACCGGTTAGATCACAAAAATGGCGTTTTAATTTCGAGTTAGCTTTCATGAACTATGAAAAAAACGAACGTTAAACAAGTAGGTACACGATAACTGACCGGAATGCCGGTGTGACCGGAAAACGTGTAATTTTCTAAAAGTGCACCCAGGGTGGTTTAGCCGCCACAGACTATGGGGAACCGAAATCACGTGCCCCACATCGGGCATCAAATCGCGGCATCCCGGGCCAATCCGGCAAAATTAATTTTTCCATTTGCCTTAAAAATGTAAAGCTCCTTAGGGCTAATCTTCGGGGTTTTGGCCCTAATGGAAGGTACCTCGGGGATGGGCGAAATCCTGCAGGATTATCCGGTCACCACAGGTGTACCAGAATTCTCCCTACCTCTCGCCTCTCTCTCTCCCCCTCCCTCTCTCTCTCTCCCCTCTCTCTCTCTCTCTCTCTCTCTCTCTCTCTCTTTCTATCTCTCTCTCTCTTCTAATAACACCACGCGAGGGCCAAAAAGCAAGAAATATGACAAGTACGTGGCTGGTGAAGATCGGGGTACACTTTGAGTACCCCAGAATTATTCTTGTATACTTTATTCATATTATTGAATAGGCGGTTTCGAATATATTGAAAATGGAAACCCAGATAAGGTTGTAGTTTCAAAATTTCGACAACATTTGATAGATATTGTTCAAATACCTTGAAATTTAGTTAAATTGTGCAAAAATACTGTAGGGTTCGGCGTAAATGTTCGCGCTGTAAACATTTATTAAAAAAAAGTGATTAAATGCAATTGATTGAGAGAAATAAATTAGAGGAAAATCGATTAAATGCAAATTAAGCCGAGGTTTGCAGGTAAAGAAAAATTATCAAGTCACTAAAAATAAAATTCACTTGAAACGATTGACTTAATGAATTCGTCAAATAATAACTGGAGGCACCAAACAATTTATACAATTATATAACTGTGAAAATTAAAAAATTTACGCAAACTCTAAATCCGAGCAAAGCAAAAGTCTCCGATCAACCTTCCGTGGATGCCGGCTTGTACTCCGCCCATCACAAGCACTTGGCCCCGAAGAGGCACGACTGATGAGCATATTTCTAGGGTAACCAGGGTTGAAAAACCGCTTCGCGGCTTTTCAACCCTGGTCTGTCTAACGCACATCATAGTCAAAAATGTGCATATTTCTTCCCGAAGCGATTGCAAAAAATGAGCAGCCGCCTCTGGCCCCTTATATAGGCTTTCCCCACTTCCGGCGCATGCAAATTGCCTCCTAACAAAGACGTTTTTCGATATCTTTACAAAAAACTCAATTTTAATAGCGAAAAACAGTAATTTTTCCAAACTTTGATGTGTTTGCACTCATCTCGGCTCGATTACGCACCTAATGATGTATCATACGTACCCTGTAAACTTTCCCCTGAGGCCGTAGATGGAAGACAACCTCACGGAAGTTGCATGCAAATGCACACACACAGACACTATTTCTTTACCAGCCGATTACAGCCGCTTCGCGACT